CAGCCGAAGCCCTACCTAAGAAGGGAAAGCTGAATGCTGCCAACATCTGCTTTTGTTGTGCACATCTGGAGTTTCTTCTTTACAGAAAGGGAAGAAGACAAACTGAAGTTGTGCTAATATTAACAGTATGGATCTATTTTGTCTGGGCTCGGGGCAGATTATTGCTTTAATTTAAGATCAGAGCTTTTTTTCATCACAGCAATATTTAAAAACAAACAAACAAACAACAAAACAATGTACTGAGCTGAAAGGATTTTCTGGCAGTTCACTCCAAAAGGACCAGGAGGTGACCAGCCACCATCATGTGGTGACCAGCAGTTGGCCACTTCAGGGTTGCACACGTAGTCACTGCTGTTCCCCTGAAGGAGCAGTCGCCATGATGTGGCTCTGCCAGCCGGTTATGGGTTTCTTCAGCTTTAGCGAGGGAAGATGAGATGGGAGGTAGGAAGGGCGAAGCATCACTTTGCCCATAGCTCTTCCTGTCTGGGGATAGAAAATAGTCCCTGGGTGTTAGATGCTCTTTTCCTCGCTGTAGACAGACATTAAGACACTGCCTGTGGTTAGTGACAGAAGCTAGGCCCAGTGTAAGGGTTAGATGTGCTTAATGATTTGCTTTGTCTTATACATTAGTGAAAGAAACCTTAGAACTGGAAGAGAAAATGAGTGTTCCTCATTATGATGCAGAGCTTTTGATCTGTGTCATCCTGCTGTGTCCCTGCTCTGCCCCGCACCAAACAGACACCATGCTGTTCGTGCCCATGCTACGTGCCGGCCAAGTCCCTGTTAACAAACTCTTAATTTGGGGGGGGTCCCACGTTAATACGAATCACTGGAAAGGGCAAAAACTGCCTTGTTGCCATTTTACTCAGATTAATATGCAAATCAGGAGGCAAATGCATCCAAGGAATGTAGGTCATGGTGGAAACGTGCAGAGCGGGAGGAGAAGGGACGAGCAACGGCGAGTCCGGGGCCTGTCTCGAAAGGCCTCCTCTGCCTTCATCTGGTGGTTGCAGCTCCCGTTTGGCTCTGCTGGAGTTACCCCACGACTCTTCCGCTGGACCTTGGTTTTGTGATGAAACTGAAATCTCATCAAGACTCGTCTGCAGCGCAGGAGCGGCGTTTCCCGGAGCTTTTGCAGAATAGGTGTTTCTGTGTGGCACTCACAAGGGAACGGAGACAGCCAAAAATCTATTTGAGCCTGACCACAACCACACCGCCTCATGCTGCTCAAACAGCCGCATCCGGGAGGACGAAGTCTGTCCCTTTGTATAGAATCATGGCTTGAAGCTTGTTTGCAAACCTCTTCAGCGCAGATTTTTGAGCTGATATTCCTCAGAACAGAATGTGCCGAAGAATGGATGAACCGAGTTATCTTCAGAAAGATGGACTGAGTCAGGGTCAGACAAACATTAGCTTTGCTGATCTCTGATGCTGCTACAATAAAATCCAAGACAGTTTTATCTGTGTAGGCACTCCCCTGACTGCACAGCATTCACAGGTTGTGGATGATGATGCTCATGCTGCCTACAGGTCTAAAAAAATTATTTTGATTTCAATTTGGAATACCAGTACTAACTGTGTGCTTTAAAGAAGTGACCAAGGTGATAATCTCTATTTTAGAGGAGGAAAACTGAGACGTGGCAAGTAGGCAGGCTAGTAACGAAGGCAAAACACCACCTTGAGCTCCTGAATCCCTGTCCTGTGCCTTATCTGCACCTTCCATCTTCAGCTGCCAGCCTTCCCCCACTGCGTAAGCTACCTCCGCCCGGCAGGAGCAGAGCCCAGGGGCTAGGGTTTCTTGTTTTTGTCCTTTCCTTCAACCAGCTTTGATGGCATGGAAGGCAGCTCCCCGCTCTGGGCTGGGCTAGAGGTTCAAAAGGCTGCTTGCCCAGCCCGTGGCACACGCTGTCGCACAGCCTCTGCCCCGGGCCAGCGCGCCGACGGGAGCTGCAGTCCTCCTCTGGGCTCTGTCGCTTGTGAAAGGATCCTGGCTAAACTTCACAGCTCTCATTCATTCGTGTGAAAATCCTGCTGCATTCAGCTGGATTTGGGCTTGACACACTGCGATTAAGGAGAATCTATCAAGATGAGAGATTCGTAAAACAGTTCCAGCCCCCCATAGTCTCTGCCGGGAAACCACTCACACGATCATCCCGCGGTGTCTCTTCCAGAGAGTAAATGGCAACATAGGAAACCAAAGTCCAGAAAGGCCAACAGACTGGTTTTACTTCAAACTAAAGGTAATATGTATTTTTGTAAGATTACAGCAGGGCATTTTCAATACTTCTCAGTATGTGTTTGCACCTGAAGTTGTACGGCACTGGGTATAGTAATCACAGCCTGCCTAAATACTATCTTTTCCTTCATCTGCTCACCCAACAAGGAGTCAGAATGAGCTGAGTCACCGCGCAAACTTGTTGGCAGAGCCCATCCCACCCCACCCAGAGCACCTGACGTTGCGAGCTCCCCACCTTTGTGTTGCAACCTTCCTACCAAGGCTGCGAGCACCTCCCCAGGGAATGCTGTAAGGACCAGGGCTCTGTTGTTCCTGGGCGTTTTTCTCTCACACTAGCTCATTGCTGTGATGCCTCCGAGGAAGGAGTAGTGCAGAATTTCCTTGATGATGCATGTTGCAATGAAGTCTTACCTCAGCCGTGACTTCTTGCTTTTTCTTTGACACAACAATACAGGAACAATGAAACCTTCTCACTAGTTTCCTTACGGCGAAGTCATAACCACACTCTACAGGTTGGTCGGTTGTTTTTTTTTTTTAAAACAGAAAACACTCCATCCTGGAACCTTGCCTCTGACTCAAGTAGGTTTTACTCAAAATTAGCACTAAAAATTCAGCTATGTGATTTGAACAGGTATCAAGCTTATATCCATAACTAATGAACAAACTTTCCAGTAAGGCTGAGTCAAACTGGAGAGTGTTTCCTATTCACACAGAAACAGAACATTTTTACCAGGCAACATCAGTCCTGCCAGTGCCTCAGATGTAACATGAACGGACACATACACTTCTGTTGTTCAGGAAATACAGAAGAAAAGAGTTTAATGTCAATAAACTGGGAAAGACTTTTTAAAACAGAGCAACAGACCTTTTTTTCCTGGAACTCTGCAAGCTGACACAGTGCAGCACAAATCAAGGTTTCAAATGACCACGCTGGTCAATGGTCACACCAACAGCTATGGAGCAAATAGGATTTTTTTTTAAACCCTGCTCCAGATATAGAAGTCATGAGGTGCTTGATCATTAACATTTGCTTAACAACTTAATTAGTTCAATACGGAAGCAGACTGGTGCAGAATAATCCACTCCCTTCTGAGAGCAGGTGGATCAGACCCCTTTGCTATCGCTGACAACGTTCGCAACCAAATGTCACCAACTGCAGGGAGAACATTTTAAAGTGGGCAGTGCCTCCACCTTCAGCACAGTCCTACAGCATTCCTTGCCAAGTGTTTGGGAGAAGGCAATTACAGCCCATTAGAAGTACTGGGCTTAATTCAAGGCTGAAAAAAAAAACATTCCTGAAGTCACTGACTTGAAAAGAAAGGCAAAGCATGCAAACAAGTGTTTCAGTACAGGAACAGAAACTCCTGATGGGGCTGAAAAGCAGAGCAAGTGCAGTATTGCCATCACCTTCATCACCTCTGAATTACACAGGTTTTTTAGTTACCTTTTTAGAGAAAACGTGATTGTTTAGCAGACTGGCTCGAGGAGTTGGACAGTTTCTGTTCTTAGCTCTGCCTCTTTGCATTAACTTTAACCAAAGAGTAATTAAAAAAGTAATAATCTCACTGCAAAGGTATTACTTAACCTGCAGTTAGCATGCTTTTTGGAGCTACGTGTAGTTCTATATATAGAACAATTATGTTTGTAATATAAAAGAAGAGGAATGAGTTTTAGGTCAATGATTCATGCTGTGGAGATAAACATTGCTTTAAGAGGTCATGCAGACATTCTATCATGAAACACCTAACATAACATAAACCCCAATTTTAATAAATATTTACTGTAAATAGGTCAAAATCAAAGGCCAAGTTTTAAATAAAAAGAATCAGACATTCGAGCCTAACCGTGTTTACAGTTGGCTACTCAGAAACTCTGCAGGATCCAATTCCCGGTTTTTCAGTTCAGTTTTTCACTATCAAATATCAACAAAGTTTTTATTCAGATTAAGTGGCTGAATTATAGTCAAGTTTAAATGTTCACAGTATCATCAAAACATGTGGTTGGTACCACCTGGTCAAAAAGTCTTCCAGGAAGAGGAAAAAAAAAAATAATCTAAAATGCTAACCTAGCTTTCAAACTGAGGTAGACAGGTCACGGTGACTTGAGCGCTGAGGGTTGGTTTTTTTACTTTTTTAAACGTGTTCATCTAATAAAATGTTTTAGGGAACAATTGAAATTGTTATGTTAGTATTTCTGAGAGTGAGAAACTTTGTTGTGAAAAAGTTAAAGTACACAATTTTTTAAAATAGAAATATTCCTCTTCTGTTACCAAAATAATCAGAAACATCATAGAAAACTATGCATCTTTCCTCTAATAATTTAAGCCTGCTCTATAACAAGCCACGTTAAAGTAGCCAGCTACCAGCTTGCTGTTCACAGTGTACAGTATGCAATTCTTTACCTTACTGTTGCTCTCCAGCCAAGGACACAGATCAAGAAGGCTGTACCTTGAGCATTTTAATCTGTCTACACACACAGAGGTTGTTTCAATTTTTCAACCATTAAGCATAACGTTTGCGGTCTCTGGCGATACATCAGCACAAGGGTACATACAGCATTTATAACACTGCCTGAGCAGCTCCCTTTCCACAGGTATCGGTGAGCTGGGTTTCATCCAGTGGCCTTTAGGGCCAGACCCTATCGCTGATTTAGTTAAACATCCAAAAAGACAGACACAGAGAGAAGAAATCCAAGTTGCTTCTACGAGAGAAAATCGAGGCCCTAGTCACATTATTAAACAATTCTGATCCCATGAAGGCAGAAGCTAATGGCCAAAGAACAGCTCAGAAACGGGTCTGCGTTTCACGATGACCTCCTCTTCCTCCTCCTCCATTACCTCAGAGAGGGAAGAATATGAAGGGAAGCCCCCTCTGGTCTTTGGCTTCCTCCTTGGGCCTGTAGTGGCAGCCAGCAGCTTGTTTAAGGACGAGGGCTTCCTTAAACCTTTGGTGAGATCATAGAAAGCCATATCATCAGATATGACCCCCAGGAAAGTGCTGGTGGAGCTCAAGATCGAAGCAGCAAGCTTTGTGGTCTTCTTGATTGGCATGGAGGGCTCCACATTGTGGGGAAGGCTGGGGTCCCCCAGCAAGCGCCTGACTGCAGAGGAGGTCCCTTCCTTTAGGTACTGGTGCGGCTTCTTCCCACTGTAGTCCCTCAGGTCGGTCTTGGCGTGGTAGCTGTAGACCAGCATGGTGATGATCTTCTCCTGGCCGTGAATGGCAGCCAGGTGGAGCGCCGTGTAGCCGCCGTGTGACCTGGCGTCCACATTGATGCGGGTCCCCCCCTTCTCGGCCGCTCTGATGATATTTGTCACCATGTCACAGTTGCCGCTCTTGGCGGCCCAGTGCAGGGCGGTGAAGCCCGAGATAAAGTCCCTCCGGGCCGCCAGGCTGGCGTCACCCAGCAGCAGCCCATGGAGCTGCTG